TCTGCAGGACTCACCTCCGGAAGGTTTCTGGAGTTGCCCCAGGTCTTGTGTGTCTTTCCACCATTATTAGCCGAGCTCAAGGTGGAAGAGGCATCCGCCAAGTTATCTGCTTCCTGCCCCCCCACAGAACGCCTTCTTTACTCACGCCATCCAGCCATGTGGTTCTCAGGCACTAGGACATGTGGGTAACCTCTGGGGCCTGATGTTGTCTTGGGTACAAGATGAGTGCAACATGCAAATGTGTGCCCCAGTCTAAGCCCGTGTGCTGAGCCCTAAAATGAGGGCTGCAGAGCGGAAGAACAGTACTAGCTTCAACTAGCGGGGTGAAGAGACAGAAACGGTAGCTAACGTTTACTGAAGGACGCGCACCGTGCCGAGTTCTTGACGGATGTCCCACTGAACTTTCACAATAACCCTGTGAGGTTGCTGTTTTTCTACAGGGGAATAAACTGAAGCCCAGGGAGGTAAAGTAACTGGCCAGAGATCACACAGCCAGGATTCAGACCTAGGACTTGTGGTACATCAGGCAGGCCTCTTCTGAAAGGGCCTTAGAACAGAGAACTTTATCCCCAACACTTACCATAAAAAAATACTAAACATACAGAGGCGCTGAAAGAATTTTGCAGTATCTATATGCCAATGACTCACCCTTAATGTTTTTGTTTATTTGCTTTCCTACGCATCTATCTCTTCCTCTATCCGTCCATGAATCCGCCTTACTTTTTCTTACGCGTTTCAAAGAAAGTTCTGGATAACCCCCAATGTGTTAGCATGCATATCATTAACTAGAGTTCGGTATTTATTTTTAGTTCTTTTTTATTGTTTTGGCGTAAAATTTACATATGATGAAACGTAAACACACATATCCAAGTGTACCATCTGACGTCACATAAATAGCTTCATACAGTATGATTTTTTTTGCGTCTGCCTCCTTTTACTCAGCACAGTGTTTTTGAAGTCAATCCATGGGATTGCATGTATCAGTGGTTCCTCTTTATTGCTGACTGTTATTTCACTGTGTGATACACCACCGTCTGTTTGTCCTTCTCCTATCAATAGACGTCTGGACCAGTTTGGGGCTATTATGAATAGAGCTGATACGAGCATCTAAGTACAGGTCTTTTTGTGGATATACTCTTTCATTTCTCTTGGGTGCATACCTGGGAGTGGAATGGCTCAGACACAGGGTAGTTGTATATGCAGCTTTATAAAAAAAACTGCCTTTTTCCAAATGGTTGGACCAATTTACATTATCACCAGTAAAACCTGAGAGTTCTGGTTACTCCCCGTCCTTGCCAACATGAGATGTTATCAGTCTATTTAATTTTCCGTTCTGGTGGTTGTATCGTGGTATCTCATTGTGGTTTTAATTTGCATTTCCCTAATGACTAATGATGCTGAGCACTTTTCACCTGCTTCTTGGCAGCCGTATGTCTTCTTCTTTGAGGCATCTTCAAATCTTTTGCCCCTTTTCAAAATGAATTTGGTTGTTCTCTGTTAGATGTATGCTTTGCAAATATTTTCTCCCAGCCTGTGATTTGAGTCTTTATTTTCTTCATGAGGTGTTTTCATGGACACAGGTTTAAATTTCGATATGTCTACTTTATCCATCTTTTCTTTAACCGTTCTTGCTTTCTATGTCTGGTCCAATAGAATTTTGCCTACTCATTGGAGAGAAGGTTGGGAGGAAATAATGGAGAATATGAAGGAACTGTAGGGAGAGCAGCTGGAGCAGGCATGTCAGGTGGGCAAGCACGGGTTCTGCTAGGGTGATGGACCTCTGTAGGGGAGGCTGCGGGGGAAGGGTGTTCAGAAAGGGAATACAGTATTAGGGACTGACTGAATTCTTTAGGCAGTGGGAGCCATTGAAGGTTTTAGATTAGGGAAGGGACACGATCACAAGAGGAGAGATGGTACAGTTCCCGCGGTGCTGGAGCCTAGGGCAGTTTCTACTTGGTCACCCTGAAGGCAGCAGGATGAAGATGGGACTGCCAGGGGGCTGAGAGAGCAAAGTACGTTCATCTCTGTGGATCCTTAAAGACTCTCCGTGGGCCCAGTGGCCACACCCAGGCCCCACCAGGTCTTAATGGGCCTGTGTCTTCCTGCCGAGGAAACCCAGGGGCTGGTGTGGGCAAGCTGCCAGCTGGGAGCCCAGGGAAGGTGTTTATTTACGAGGATTTAGAGCCAACTCTCCCAGTGGCTCCAGAAGCCTTACAGGGACTCCCACTGCACCTCCCTCTATCTCACCTCCCTCTATCTCACCTCCTCTTCCATCACTGTCCTGGCTCCTGCCACCCCCAGGCTTCCTCGTGGTTCCTCCTGCATCAGGCGACTCAAGGCCTGCTGCTCCAGGCCTTTGCTGCCCTTGTGTCTGGAATCCCTTCCCTAGCTGTCTGTATCCAGATGTTTACTCAAAGTCATCTTTTCAATGAGGGCTTCTTTGGCCCCAGCCCTTTGCCTGCCTGGCCAGCACCCAGCACCACCTAACATCCCAGGACACACTTTCACCTTGTCTGTGGCCTGACTCCTCTCCCTGGAGATGAGGGGTTTTTTCTTTCTTTTTCTTTTTTTTTTTTTTTTTACTGTTTTGTTCTCTGCTCTAAGCCAATGCCTAATGTAACATCTGGTGCTTGCAGGCCCTCAGAAAATATTCATAGTATGAGTGAATTCGAGGCAAACTTCCTCACTTCTTCCAAAGCCCATTTGATTGCAGTTGGCTCTAAGTGAGAAAATGGGGACCCTTGTCCCAAAAGCCTAGGTCCTACCTAGGTCACTCAGAAAATGAAGGAATCTCAGGTCACCCCTCCCCCGTTGTACAGATGCAGAAACTGAGACCCTAAGAGGGAACGGACTTGCCAACGGACTTAACTAAACTAACTGAGCCTAGTTAGTGGCAGAGAGGAAATAGGAGCCAATTGCTCACACTCCAGCTGCTGTTAGAGTCCCATTTGGCCCCTGGGGGAGGCCCTGGGCCAAGCGAGAAGGCTTAAGGATGGTTATAAAGGCTTTTGGTGCCAGAAGATATTTTTGTGTTTCCAAGTGGGGTTGGAGGAAACTAACAGGCCCAGAATGCTTCTCTTCTGGGTAATTCTTGCCTCTGCGGTTTTTTACTGCTTCCCCAGAGGAGATGCTGGGCTGCACTTCAGGGCCTGGGAAGAGGTCACATCAGTATCAGCTGGGCCGCCCTGACTTTAAACTCCAAATGAGACCCAATTCCACAGCCTGTGGACGTCTGTGGTGCTGCCCTGCTGCCTCCCAGTCCCATGATGCCTGCAGTTCCACCTGGTGACCTGGAACACTCTTCTGTGTGGACCCAGAAGGGAAATTCTCAAGAACCCACAGCACATGCAGCATCCGGGAGAGGGAGGGCTTCTCGGAGGGCCTAGGAGTGGGGGCGTCAGAGGAGGGAACTTTTAGCAAAGTGATGTCGCCGTATCTCTCATCACCACACATGTTCCTAGTCTGGTTTCACTGCTGGACCTGTTTCATCCCACACTTCTCAGTCTCCCCACCACCCGGAGAACCTCCAGGACCACGCCTCTCCCCTTCAGGAAATGCTCCCTCATCAGGACTTCTGGGTCCTGCTGCCCTCTGACTCCAGCAAGTGGTTCCACTTTTCTGTGCCTTTAACGGAGCTCATCCTCCCCCAGGAGGCTCCTTACAGCAAACGCCAGCCTGATCTCTGGTGCCCCAGGGTGCAACATGGCAGGGACACAGGGCAAAAGAGAGGGACCAGCCACATCTTCCTGGCTTTATAACTACCTCTTCTGTCTCATTAAGGTTTTCACCCCTGAAGATACCCTGAGAGATACCATTCCTCAGGTGGAAGGCAGACAGACCACACAGCCCAGCAGA